GTGATCGAAACACGTGTCGAGGTGTTAAAAATAACGATTTGGTGTTGGGAAAAAACTCCAGTAATATTCATCACTACACCAAAGGTTCCAAACAGTGCATCATAAATAAATAAAGAAAATGAATATGGGTCTAGATTAGTTTTATTATTTCCATGTCATGCAAAATCTGGCTAGCGGGAAAAAATCTTCACAAATTCATTCTAATCTTTCTATAGACTCACTGAGGTAGTTGTTGTAATTCTTCAGGTCATCACTAAAAATATGCCTTGGAACGGTGGGGTGGTTGGAGTGAACTCTTTCGGTTTTGGAGGTGCCAACGTTCATGTAGTTCTAAAATCACATACCAAAGAAAAATCGAAATCATACAAACTACCCAAAAACCGTTTGGTAGTTTGCTCTGGAAGAACGATTGAAGGTGTCAATCACCTACTTGAAGAAATAAAGGCGAATCCGGATCCCGAACTATTTGCTCTGATTGATGAACTACATAAAATTAACATGAGTGGTCACAACTATCGGGGGTAAGTAGGAGAATTTGGTTTTTAAGGTTTGCTCAGGTTTTTTACGAGAATTTTCCTATCTGTATAGACTAGTTTTTAATTCAATTAGATATCAAATCATTTATGTAATGAAGGAACAGTAAAGGAACTGGATTCGATCCTTGTGGTACGCCTGTAGTTGAATAGAAAAAAAAAGGATCTTAAAATGTCACAATCAATGATTTGCTTCCATTCACTCAAATATGATCTGATTAAGTTTAAAATACGATAGAAACAAGTGGTCTCTCTGGTCAAACGTTTTCTGAAAATCATTATGACGTCTCCTCTTATGAGAACGCCATCTATGAGTTGATTAAAGAGAAAGAGTGCAGCTAATATAAATCGGCAGTCTTTTGCATGCCTTATCAACATGATCTGGCCATTAGCGGTATGATAATCATGTTCTGCTGATGCATCAAATGATCTGAACAAGCAAATGGTCAACCATCTATAGCTTCCAGATCTATGAATTGATTCAAATGTATATAGTCTAAATATTTCTTGAATCCATACCACATGAGAAATTCGTAATCAATTGATTTCTTTTCATTGTAGATATGCGCTACTGGGAGATACTGTAACAACGGAACATGACAGATATTCAAAGAACAGACCCATTTGGTTCATCTACACAGGAATGGGATCCCAATGGGTTAAAATGGGGAAAGATCTAATGCGGATAGAGGTGTTCAGAAAGTCTCTCAATAGATGTGCTGCAGCTCTAGCTCCTTACGGGGTCGACTTGATAGATATAGTGACTAACTCCTCGCCATCAACTTTCGATGACATCGGTAATTGTTTCTGCGCCATTGGCGCTGTCGAAATAGCTATGACTGACGTTCTCCATTCTCTGGGAATCTTTCCTGACGGCATAGCAGGGCACTCTTTGGGAGAAGTAGGTAAGTAATTGAAGTCAACTTGAGAATTACTCATTACTTAGTTGGTCTGTAGGATGCTCGTACGCGGATGGTCAGATAACAACAGAACAAGCAGCTTTACTGGCGTACGCTAGAGGATACGCTTCAAAAAATACCAAGTTGATTCATGGCCAAATGGCTGCTGTGGGCCTTTCTAAAGAAGAGTTGCTGAAAATCCTTCCTGAAGATATTTACATAGCCTGTCAAAACAGCAGAACCTCCATGACCATATCAGGTCCTCATGAGTCAACAAATGCGTTCGTAAAGAAGCTCACCGATCAAGGGATATTCGCAAGGCTGGTTAAATCCGCTGATATAGCGTTCCACACCAAGTACATTGGAGATGCAGGAGACCTACTTCTAGACTTTTGTAAGAAAGTGTTGACAGATCCAAAGCCAAGATCCTCGAAATGGGTGTCGAGTTCGGTGCCTCCCAGTAAACAGGACGAACATTGGGCGAAGTACAATTGTGCCGAATATCATCATAATAATTTCTGCAATCCAGTACTCTTTGATCAAGTATACGAACATATACCTGAAAATGCTATAGTTATAGAAGTCGCGCCTCATGGGTTATTGCAAGCCATTCTGAAACGAGAACTTGGACCAGATACCACTCATATTAGCCTTGGTAATCGATCCTGCGAAGATAATGAGAGATTTTTCCTATCAGCCATCGGAAAGTAAGCATCTTTTATCTACACCTTTCATTTTCCATGAATGAAGAAATTACCAATTTGGTAAAATTCTACAGAGAATAACTGTAAGAAACTTCAACTAGTCGAATACAAGCTTTGGACTTTCATTGTCTACAAAAATATTGAGAGATATGAGATTGTTTTGGAAGATTGTTCTAGCTCAAATACCTTCTTCAGTAACCTTGGTTTTCTCCAGGGACCCATATTGTCTCCAACCTTTACCCTATCTATCGGAAAAAACCAGATGTAATGCTGACATTTGGTACACATCTCCAAATGGAAAATCTTTTACTGTTCCTCGTCAGTATTTTTTCCAAACACACAACTCAGGACTACAGCAATACACTATTGAACTCTTTTGAACATCAGGACCAAATACTGAATAACTTTCCACGAAACACTCACTGCAGCCATTTCTAAACATTCTCAAAGAAACCTCTGGAACCCTGAATAAATGACCGAATGGGCACAGTTGAAAAACAGTAAGAATACTAAATCTACCGAAACTTTTCAAAGCTTTGAAAGATTTTTACGCCAAGGATACGCCAGGAAAAAGAGGAACTAAGGACCAACTCCATTATCTATTACTATGCCTGCATCCTTCATTCGCCACGATTACCTAAATTTTGGAGTGCCATTTAAGTCATCGATCTATTCGTACTTTCGGTCCCTTCAGAAGTCATGGAAGCAATCATTCTTGAAAAAATGACCGAATCATATACTTAAGACTTCGCCAAATCTTTCGATTGGAATAGCAGAGACTGATGAGCAAAGTCAAAAATGTTGACATACGAGACAAGCTTCATTCCTGGATCAAAGTCTGTCTAGCAAATAAAAGTTCAAAGTGGAAAGGGGTAACTTATTCTGTCCCGACATTGCAGACAAGAATGATGTTCCCCAAGGTTCCATTCTCGGCCCATTCCTTTTTACAATCTATACGAGTAATATTACTCGCCATATGAAAAGTAAATATTTTTCTGCATAGTGGCAGGGTAATAATCCAAAGAAAGTCAGGTTTATATTCAATATTAAAAGTCGGTGAGGTTTGTAAAACATTCAATTTCGACCTTCTTATTATGGGCGAAAATTTACATGGGTAGCTTGATGTTCGGGCATCTAAATTAAAAAGGAAAGACAAGGCAAGCAATGTATCGCAATGCTTTTGGTTCTGTAGAAATATGGTTGGAGAAAATATGGATCTTTGGAGAATACCAACGTCGACAATGAAGGTATCCCAGAAAGAAATATTGATAGAAAAAATGTTCAATACCCTTCTGGCAAGCCATAACATCAAAGTTCAAATAGTTAAGCCTCATTCGGGATGCAAAGACAACAAAGAAAATCAATTTAAGTCTCGCTATGGTGTGGTATAAAATAGGTTTTAAACCTGTTAATAGATTCAACGGAAGTTCAAAACCCCAACATTCATTACCAATTCATAGTACATAGTGGGTAACTATTCAAATTCCAAAATTAGTTCAGGTCTGTCATGTGTTCACTTTGTTATAGGTTTTTTCAATCAGAAAACTCTTCCACCTTCTTCAATTTACTGTTGGTATCTATATAGTGGCACTGGATTTTCCAATACATACTGTCCGCATTTTTCAGGATATTTGTAGCTGGAGGCCAACCACAACTGAGGAATTTGTATAATGAAGTGCAATTTCCAGTTGGCCGCGGAACCAAAATGGTGTCTCCAATGGTGAAATGGGATCACAGCATTTCTTGGTACGTCCCATCATGGAAAAATAAGGACTGTTTTGGAGAAGTAATCAGTATCGACCTGTCTACAGAACAATATTCTTTTCTAGCAAACCACGATATTGACGGTCGAGTTCTGATGCCGGCAACTGGTTACCTGGTAATTTCTTATATTTTCTTGTTCGTTGGTAATTCACTCAGTTAAACAAAGGACCCTTTGACATGCTGTTTATGAAGAAATAGGTTGTTTCAAAAGTTTTGGACACATTGGAAGGGTCAAAAAGCTCGAAAAATTGATGCCCCACGATTTGAACAGTAGACAGAAATTGTCATGTTACATCAAAAAAAAAACGTGGTTACTGTATGGTGGTCTGCGGTAGGTTTGATTCACTATAACTCTCTACAACCAGGCCAAATCCTCAGAGCGGATCCTATTGTGTGGAAGTCAACGAAATGTACCGAACATTGAGCCAGCAGCAGCCTCACTGGTCAACAGAAGAGGTCCGATCCTGCTCCACGACAACGACCGTTCACACATTCCACAAATGACCGTCCGAAAATTGAACAAATTGAGCATCGAAGTTCTGCCTCAGCCACCATACTTCCCAGACTTCTCGATAGATCTAGGAGAATCTCCATGGCCCTTATTCAGGCAGACTCTGACGTCATCACATCAGCCAGGTTGCCTCTCAGCTCATCATACAAGGCATACAGATCACCCAGTCCTGTCACCCAGTGGTGAATAAATCGGAGTGTACCAAATTAACAAGTAGCGTCTTCAAATTGTCACGCAGCTCCAGCTAATCAGAGCACACGCTTCTGCATCTCAGAACATCGTGGCGGGAGATTTGAATTTTCTGTGGACATATATAATTCAAACAAACGACCAGGCGTATCCCTCAACGAGACAGACCATCCAGTCACGTGGCGCACTTTCCTCAACCTGTCACTTTTTCCGGCTCTCCACACCTTTGTGATGTCTCAGCACATGTCATTGAGGAATTAAAAAAGATCAGAGAATTGAACGCTGGTCATCGGTGTGATAGGCTATGTCTTTAGACTCGACACCAACGTGAGATATTGGAAGTAATTGTGAAATAATGATAGTGATAATCTGATGTCATCGGTTTGTACCTCGAGATCTAGAATTGGTCCTCGAATTGGGTCCTCGATTTAGTCATTGAATCGCTCTTCGAATTAGTTTTAGTCCCGATTTGAAGGTACATCAACACACTTGGAAGAGCTGCAATTATGATTGAAAAAAGAAAGAATCGTAGAATACGACGTTCGGTTTAATAATGAATTATATTTGCTGTAGTTATCTGTTTTCGATGTATGATGTCTTTTATAAGTTAATAGCTCTAACTATTTTTCAATGGCCAGACAAGCCTGCCTCTGTAAGCCAAACAGCTTCGCCTGATCCGTTTTCTGTAAAGCCTTCGGCCACCAGACAATTGCTCCATAAGTGAGCATTGGTCTGACAATCATCAGATGAACCCAATGGATTTGTTTGGGACGTGAGCCCCAAATTTTACCACAAATCCTTCGACATGTCCATAGGAACATTGTGGCTTCAAGTAAAAAAATTTCCAAATGACCGTTCCAGATAAGTTTTTTACCGAGGAAAATGCCTAGATATTTCACCTCCGTTCCAAATGGAATGACCCCACCATAGAGGGAAAGTGGCCTTAGATCATCCAACTTCCTCCTCCTGGTGAAGGGGATTATCACAGTTTTGCTGGGGTTGACAGACATCGGCTCCCTCTGGCACCAAAATGTGAACCACGTCCATCGTCCTCTGGAGGATATTACAAGCTACCATTCCTAACGTAGATCTTGCCAAGATGATAAAATCATCTGCCTAAGCTTGCAGATATACTTCTCTTCTGTTGAGGGCACCAAGCAGACTACGAGTAAGTTTACCGAAGTAGGAGCAGTACGATGTGAAGCTCTGAAATAAATGTCTAAAAAAATTACACTTGAATTTTTGAAACCCAGTCGTACGCAATTACCCTTAACCTGATATTAACGTGTGATTCCTAGCAAGGGCTGGACGATAATAATAATATAATATCGTTTCACCAATCCGAATGTAATTCTACAAATTGCCATTTTTTACATCCATAAGCTTTTATTCACTTTCAACTGTCATGATGACTGTTTTGCAAGTTGAATTTCATTCACTTTCTAGTGTTCGATTGAGCTAAAGTTTGATACAGCACCATTAATTTAGACTTACGGCAGGTCGAAATAGCGCCATCTGGTGTAGGATCATGAATGCTTTGTTTTTCACTCTAGTTTTGATCTAATACAATGTCTAAAAGTGGACTTTACAACAGTATGCCGGATTACATGAATTCCCTCATTGCTTTTTGAATAGCTAATATGAATTAAAGTTTTCACTAGGTAAACTCTTAGAACATTCATTCATAATGAATTAGTTTCATGTCCGTAATTTTTAACTACTAGGAGATGGTATGGAGTGTATTCGCGAAATTGCACCTGAAGGAAATAGAAGAATTCCCAGTGGTTCTGGAGAAAATCAAACTCAAACGAGCGTCAGTTCTCCCGCATGGTGAAGTCGTCAAATTTCTGGTGAACATCATGAAACAATCAGGATATTTCGAAATATTCGAAGGGGGTTCGGTAGTTGTCACTGGAACAATAAGAGTACCCAAGGATATTTCCAGTGAATTTTCCGAAGATTCTCCAGTTACGGGAAATAATTGCTACTTGATGATGAAAAAAGAAGACTTGTATAAAGAATGTCGGATGAGGAAATATATGTATAAGGGTCCCTTCCAGAGGATAACAGAATGTGACGTCCACGGAAACCACGGAAAAATCGAATGGTCCAGCAATTTCACCATTTTTCTGGATACAATGCTTCATATAAATGTTATCAGCCAATCCAATAGGGCTTTGATGCTGCCTACATCGATTTGTCAAGTAACAATTGATCCTGTCAAACATTTGAAGCTGGGAGATACAAAAAAAGGTAATTACAATTAGTTATTATCATCGTTTTGTTCAATGTTTATCACTATATAATAGAATATTCAACGATATGAATGGGACTTGATTGGGATCGGTATTGTAAATTTTAGAATATTATAACGTATCACTGAGTTACTACCGTTCCCTAACGTAAAGCTTTTAGGGAATGGAGATTTTTTATCTCATTACCAGACATTTTTATTTCAAATGATCCAGTGTGCTCCCGGAGTTCTCTCAAAAGAAATACCAGTGGTGGAACACTTCAACTTTTGCTTTTGTCGTATCTCTTACCCTTTGGTCCCAGTTCCTGATAGGACAACGAAGACAATAATGAAGATTCGGTATGAGCAAAAATACCGAAACTCGGAAACATCATCATATCCGATTGTATAGTCGAAGTAAACGGTATTGTGCACTCTTAAAGTTGGCGGCACTCTCAAAGGCCAAAGAAACCAATACATAAAAATGAACCGGCAGCAAACTAATCCACGTGGATTGTAGACTTGGCGGTTCGTATTGAATAAATTTCACCAACCGAGTTTTATGATTGGCTGAAGAGTCATAAAATTAAATTTGAAGTCATGTTACGGTGACGAATAGAAATATGGAATGCTGGGATGGTTATCGCCGTCGTGTTCAGTTCAGTAACTGATCGCGATTTGAGTATTGGAATTCGATATTGGTGCAGTTATAATTACTTAAGATTTTTTTTATCCGTTCAAAATGTGGCATCCTTGGACAAGTACTAATAGTAATAACAAGTGTGATAACAACGCAGACTTTTTCCAGTGATGCGATTCCAATGCGAAAAAGAGATTCCAGTGAATAAGATTCGGATGCATTTGAATATTTAAACACAGAGAGTATGTTTCATTGTATATAAAGAATCTACAACTCAAGTTTGGTTTCGAGGGAAACCAAACTATTACAAACAAAATCAGATTTGACCGAAATTCCTTTCTCAACTATACGTAAAATAGTGAAAAACAAACCTTATGAACGCAAGAAGCGATGTGATACTGGATTACTAAAACTTTCAGATGTCCATCTAATAAATTCATTGAAAAAAACAATATCCGACTGTTACAAAAGCAATGAGATTCCTACAACTGAAATCATAAGGAAGAAAAGGAATACCTGCGGCTATAACGTGAGCTGCTGTGACAAAACCCTTCAGAATTGGATAAAAAACTAGGATTCAGATTTAAAATAAGCAAACGTCAAGCAGTTATGGAAAGCAGAAGAATAGTGGAATTGCCTAACAAATACTTAGAACAAATAACTGAATATAAACAACAACAACGGCAAATTTTCTATTCGGACGAAACTTGGTATGACACTCATGACACAGTTACGAAAGGGTGGACTGATGGTTCGAGAATGTGTATGCCAAACATGCCTGCAAACAAAGGAGACAAACGCCCGACACCATGGTGTACAGGAAGTACGAAATTACCACGAAGAGGTTGAAATTAACACCATGGCGTGGCCAGCACGTAGCCCGGATTTAAATCCAATATAAAATATCTGGGTTACCCTTTGTAGGCAAATAGCTTCTTCAAGCATAGATTATGCGTGTTTCGCTATACAATAGCTTCTTCAAGCATATATTATGCGTGTTTCGCTATACAATAGCTTATTCAATCATAGATTATGCGTTTTTACTATACAATAGCTTCTTCAAGCATTATCTATGCTTGTCTTCTTCAAGCATTATTTATGCTTGAAGAAGCTATTGTATAGCGAAACACGTGTTGCGGTTTTTGTAAAACCCTTATAGTAAAAATTATACAATAAACTGTATTGATTAGTTTTTTTTACGGCACATAAGTTCTGTATATTTTCGTCAAATTTTTTTCAACAATATGTTGTTTGTAATCAACTTTTTTTTCTATGTTACGTCAACCCTCGATTTGACACAGTATCACAATTACTAATACTATGTAGGTTAATTTTGGAGGTGTTTCGTTTCTTATTTCTCCCCTGACTACAAATAAAATTGATTCACTGAAGTGGTACGTTGATTTCTTATAACTCGATTCTTTATTTGTTATCTATCGTGTGCTGCTTTTATATCGTTTACTCTATTTGAACTCTAGAACAAAACGCTAGAAACTTTTAAAACTCATAGGAATTATTATTCACATCAAAATATTGATGAAATTCAGAAGATTTTTGGAATTTCTTCATGACGTTTCGCTCGCGCGAGTGGCTAGCTTCGTCAGAGGTTTATACTTTCTGAGTTTCTCCATCGGAGATATCAACTCAGGATGTATAAACGGAACATCAGGAATAAATTCCAAAAATCCACGGCCTTCAAACAAGGGAAATAGTGACATTGAAAACCTCAGCCGCAAAAGCCTAACCCATTTTGTCATTGATGAAGTTAATGAGCACCTGATTATTTCAAGTAAACTAGTGGTGTTCATGAAAATATTTATTTTCCAATAATGTTATCATGAAGTGGCTGATTTTAGTCTATCCATTTTCTATGTGAGTTATGAATAATCATCTGGTTTGTTTCCAGAAATACCTATCACTTACGACCATGACCTGAATATCATCAAATCGGGAGGTGTAGAATTCATCGGAGTGGAGACTTCGAAAGCCCCTCTTCGGCAATCCAGCCACAGTGATCCCCTTCTTGAAACCTGTGAGTTCATCCATTACGAAAAATTTCGACAGTAGCAATAGTATTGATAATTTCATTTTTCACTAATTGAAATCTGCAATTCTCTCAACAAACTGAAACCAAAACTCACGAGCGGGGATGATAACATACCTAGCTTTTTCGTTAAAGATCGTGCACACCTCCTAGCCATACCATTACACTAAATCTTCAATCTAGCACTGAGTAGGTACAGAATGCTCTCCTAACAAATTGAAAATATCAAAAATTTGACCAATTTTTAAAGCTGGTGCCATAAACAATATCCAAAACTATCAACCTATAACCTTGTTATCCAACTATCCAACTCTCAGAAGTTTCTCAACTTCTGAGTCAAATTCTAGGAAAATACTTCGACTTTTCTTTGGTTTCCATTTCGAATCTGCTCATGAACAGGTTTGCCAGGTAGGGGGACAAGGGGTTTCCCATGGCCGTTCCTTCCTATTGTTCATAAAAGCAACCTTCTACCTGGAACCGATTTTGTTTCATACACAAATTAGTAAGAGAAACGAATTCAT